ATGACAGCTTTTAAAGTCGTGTATGTGTGTGTTGTGGTGCAGTCGCTCGAAATCTTCTCGTGTAAATTCGCTGCGATGTATCGACGCTGCGAATCATATGTAAACTTTTCATTCCGAAAGAGCGCAATTGGCCACCGCTCGTATCGCAATTTTTCTCTCTCGATGCGAGCCGGGCCTGAATCGATGATATCAAACCGCATTAAAGACTATTTATAAATGCGTATAATTGATAAGTAACAATAAGTAGGGCTACATTTGGGTCACTCGTTAACTCCACGCCTCCAGTACGCGTCGGCTCTCTTCTTATTCTCGCTCCTTCTTGTCTCTCGATTCAGCGCTCTGCCGCAGAGTCTCGAAGTCAACGCGTCAAGTCATTTTCGCGCTGAGCAGCTCGCACGTCCATGTACGTACGTCGTATAGTAGCTCGCAAGCTCACAAGAATACGCGACGCCGCGCATGTAACTAACGCGTATGTACTCACGTACAATAGACGCGATTCAACGTGGATCTATACGCACATACGCCGCGCGCAGACACGAGCGAACTAATGTATCCAGCGCGACGTGTGTACGTGTAAGCGCACACACACACACACACAAACTTTATTTTTGCATCGATCGAAGGTCGTCTCGGGGAACGACGCGCACACGGCACACGAGTGTGTGCGTGGTACGCGCGAGTTTTTCGCATTTAATGCGAATAATACGCGCGGTGGCGAGTCGCATCGCCTACTTTATCCTACCCTTATAGACCCGAGCTTTCGCTCGATTCTTGGCAAGTCCTAGTTGGCTCTATATATACATTATTTAAGTATTGTGTACGTCGGTGAAGTTTCATTCATTTCATTCATCGGCCGCTCCCGGCACTGCTGCTCACCGCGCCGCGTATACATCTACCTGCGCACGTAAACAGCGAGCAACGACGATTTCCTCGCGCAAAAATTGTCTCTACCTTCTTCCGTTGTTCTTTTTTTTCTTTCACTTTTCCTCTTTTCGTTGGCGCTCGCTTGCAGGCCGCTACATTTTGGGAATCAAGGTAAAGAACTCGTTGTACGCATGCGACGCATCGATACCGTTATACGCCGGGCGCGCAGTTCTGTCTCTCGCGAACGATCGCTTGCGCGCAATTCCGTTACGTGCGCGCATGCGATCGCGAGCGCGCTGCGTGTAATACGCGTTTAATAACGGTACAAACGGCCCCCTGCGCCGCGCATCGTGCGTAAGAATTGCATTCGTTTATTTCTTTATCGCACAATATATAACGATCGAAGATACGTTTAACTCGTTCTGTGGGTATATAGCATCCGAAGGTATACCATCGAAAATATAAAGATCCCACGCGCTCGAGATTCGCACTTCGTTCCAGTAGAGCTTCCCAAAGCTCGCACTGATAAAAAATCGCAGCAGCAGCGAAAGAGAGAAGGAGAGAGAAAAGCAATCAAGTGCGACTATTGTCGCAATAAGCACGAATCCGACGCAAGCGATCTGAGTCATCAACGCTCGACAACAAACAATTTGCAGCTTTTGCGGCTTCGATGATAGTTTGTTTCTTATTCTCTCCCTGGCGCACGCCGGAGTGATTGAGAGAGAGAGAGAGAAAGACGCGTATATGTGCACAAAGTCCGAGCTTTTGCGCCAAAGCTCGATGTGCTATGGACTCCCCCTATTTATAGATGGACGACGACGACGTGCTCTTAGCGCCTTTTGTATATACTCCGAACACGAGCTCGGTGGATGTGCGAAACGCACACGCACTTCTCTCTCTTTCTTTCTTATTCTCTCTTTCGTCGCCGAGTAAGTATTGTACGAGCGTATAAGCAGTGGAGTATCGCGCAAACTTATCCACGCACCGCGGCCCGAATTGTGTATAGGGCCAATGACCACGTTTACAAACGACCAACCTATATAGCATCTAAGAATCGGAGCCGTAAAAAGTAAGAAAGAGAGGGAGAGAAGCTCGTCAAGGTCGTCGTCGTCGTCGCTCGATTATTGTTATCATTATCATCGCAATGGATTAGAAGAAGTTCGCACAGCGCTCGCACATTGTATGTATGTATGCGTATAATGTATATAAGGCGAGCAGCGCTAGGAGAGGGAAGGTCAGACATGAATAAATAAGCCAACTCCGGGTTTTTCTAAAGGTGAAAAGGAGCGAGGCGTTCACACACACACACACACACACACACACACACACACACACACACACACACACACACACACACACACACACACACACANCACACACACACACACACACACACACACACACACACACACACACACACACACACACGATGAATAGCATAGACATATACGCGGGAAATCGATAAGAGGAGAAGAACAGTACGATAACACAGAGAAAGAGAGGCGAGTGAGAGAAAAGTGCCGCAGACGACGAAGCTTTTATATTGTTATTATAATGGCGTCCATGCGGCGCGCGCGCTGTGTCATGCAGCAAGTGTACATGGACTGCTTATTATAATGTGTTGTATATATAGGTCTGTGTGTTTGTGTGCCCGTGCACGAGCCCCAACAAATATTAATGTAAGCATTTTGTCTACAAAAGGGAGGACGAGAGCGTTTAATTGTTTTGCCCGTGTGCGCCGCCGACATCTTCGCCTCCACCGCCGCCTTCACTGGATCGTTCTCTCCCGCTTTTCTTCAATTAACGATCTCGTATATTGATACGTAACGAGGCTAATTCTTTTCGCTTCAAATATAACGGAATTACAAATCCCTCAACAGAATCCGTATCATAGATAATTATTGGTAAATATGCAAGGTTTAACAAATAATTATCACGATTCTCTTGTAGCGATCGCTACGAATTTCGCTTTAAAGCGATATGCACATCGTTCGCGTATTCCAAATTGATCTCGTAGCTAGGCTTTAGGACCAATCTTTCTGTCTCACGGGGCACCAAAATCGTTATACCGATCGCGGTGAATTATATTAAATTCGCGTATAATAGTGTCGGGGCCAGAAACTCGACTCGATCGTTCGCATTATTTATTATAACGCTCATGTGTAATACAATTGAAATTCGCAGTTTGCGAGCGCAAACGTAATTCCATTTATTTATTATTTATTTTATTTCTTGTGTGTGGGTTTTTTATTTTGCATTGAGTGCGTCGCAAAGTTCAGGCGCCGATTTACAAGGCGAACTTCGCGGCAGCGTAGAAGATTGTCGAATACGCGTGATTTTTGTATACAATATATTATACGAAGAGCAGTTGTCAGCGAGAAAAAAAGTGCATCGCCTCGCGTATAGTTGCACTTTAAATATTACGAATATTAACACGAAGCTCAAGAGTAGGCAATAATAGTACGATTTAAGTATAGTATTTTATCAACGCGGCCGCGTACATCCGCGACACACGATGACTCATAACAATGCACATTCGATGCAAAAATAATTGAGTCGCGACAGCGAAAAAGTCGAGCGCGGCGCGCGAGCTGCTTCTTCATCGATATTATAAATCACTGGCTTTACTCTCGCTACTTGCTGCTGCTGCTGCTGCTCCTACTACACATGTATATATTGCAAGTCGAATCGCGCAAACACTCAATTACAGTGACTCCCCCCTAACGGATGCCGCGCAACAAATATATGTGACTTTTATATATACAAGCTCACCAGCGAATCTCTTTTTTTTTGTTTAATCTTCGATTACAAGCTAGCGAGTGCGTGTGGGCGTGCGCGCTCAAAGCCGTGTTATAGATTTTGAAGAAAAAGCGAAAAAAAAAAAATTATTAACCGTATGAGTGCGAGCTGTGATTGTTCGAAAAAAAAATCACGACGAAGATAAGGACACATGTACAGGGGTACTGATAATGATCGTGTATTTATATTACGAGGTAGTGCCTTGGGAGCGTCTTTCGGCGCGCGCAGCACACACAATACACACATATTTGCTGTGCACACCTCTCGATGCGAGAATTGTAATATTAATAATAATAACAATATAAATAATAAAAATAATAATAATATTACAGGTAAGGTCGAAAAAATACAAGTAGCCGGGTCGAGCCTCCGAATCGATTCGGTACGGAGCGATTATTAGCTTTATGAATTTCGCTCTCGGTATTCTTGCTCCTAAATATACCTACGCACGATATATATACTTGAGAACAGGCGTGACATTATGTATACATTTTGATACTAGTGCCGCGCGGCGCTTGGTGCTCCGTATTTCTGATCTATTATAACATCTACGCTAACACACATTCGAAAATCTTTCGATGTCATCGATGTGTTAAATATATAAAAAAAAAAAAAAAAAAAAAAAAGGTCCACACAAAACNAAAAAAAAAAAAAAAAAAAATAGGTCCACACAAAACACGTGTCAGCGAAACTGTCAGATAATTTACTGACTTTTTTCCCTCTTTTTCTATTTTGATAACTGCTCATGATCCGCGCGCGTATAAACTTAAACTGACCGCTACTCCTCGTGCAATGATAAGTGAGCGTACGCAGAAGAGGCGATGCATCGGAGCTGCTGCTTTTTTTATAAACATCAGTGGCGAAAAGACAAAACAACTCGAGCCCATAATTTTGTCCTTTTATCAGTATCAGTTTATAATGAAGCGCCCTTTAATTCGATGAACACATACGTTAAAAGCTGCCTCAGTAATATCATAATTTGAGACTTCAAGTCATCCGCATCTCGATAGCTGCACTCGTATGCAACTTAAAACGCGTTTTTTCTCGAAAACTCGAAAAGTGGACTTGAGTCGTTTTGCCTTTCCACCTCGCGCACGGACATGTATACGCGCACACGAGCTCGAGCGAGTGAAAAAAATTGTATATAGAGAGACTCGAGGAGTTGGATCGCAGCTGAGCATAGTATAGCAACAGTGCGACGTTGTGTGTATGTGTATGTTCACGATATGCATGTGTGAGATACCCGAGTGCGTGAGTGTGTGTACGTGTGTATGTATGCGCGTCGACGGCGACGGCCCATACGGCGGAGGGTGGGGATAGACATTTACTCGGGCTCTTCGGCGTGTCATGACGGCCGTCTCTCGTAATGCCAGTCTGTCTTGCGGCGCTCGACACGCACGTTTGTCGACGCTTCTCACGCATAAGAGCGCAATATATAAAACGCGAATCCGTTCGTAAACACATTGATATATACATACATACGTATATACAAGCATCATCGCTCGCATAATCATCATTATATACACGCGAGAGCTCGGTCGCATACTTGTCTCGAATGCGAGAGAGCTTAAATATCGCAGCCAAAGTGAATGCAATCCATTTCGACTCTCTCGCTCCCTCTCCTCTTACATATATATTTCTTTCTCTACATCTGTGCGCTCGCGACGAACGAACGAACGAACGTCATCGATCGACGGAGAGCAACAAGCAGCAGCGGCAGCAGCAAAAAGATGCATCGCCGGTCACAGGAGTGCTTTCTCGTTATTTTCTGAAAGAGACTCGAAAATCCGCTCGCGGATGATCTTTTATCGCTCGTCGAATTGAGATTTCGTTGCCTTATTTTTCACTGCAACATTTTTTTGGCGTTTTATTGACGTTCTCCCTCGTCGTCGGTCCGAATATTCAGCCCGAAATATTCACGCGATGTTTCACGATCGGTGATTACGACACCAAAAGTTGTGGCGGCGCGAGTAGTACACGACGGCGACAACGACGGCAGCAGCAGCAGCAGCAGCAGCAACGGCAACAACAGTGCGCGTGCATCGGCATCGAGCAACAGCAGCAGCAAGATTGTCAACGATTCTTGGGTTTTAATCGATAAAAACAAAAGAAAAACTGCAAAAGTGTGCGCGATCGCGCTAGTTCGCCGATCATTAATACAGTCGTGCTTGTGAAGCAGTTCGAAGCTTTCTAAAAAAAAAGTCGAAAGTTGGAGTAGCAAGTAAAAAAAAGCTCCGAATTGAGAAAAAAGTTGCACCGGTACTCGTCGATCTCTCAGCAGTCGCGACCGATATCGCGCTGTAAATTATTTATCGTAATAAATAAATTTGTGCGAGTATTCGGCAAGGAGCAACAAAACACCGTTGCGAGAGGGACGCGAAACACAACGAGCGAGAGGAGCTACTAAAGAGAGAGAGAAAGATCGAGAAAAGAGAGAGATAGAGAGAGAGAGAAAACAAGATAGAAAGAGAAAGAGAGAGAAGAGCAGCGAGTCAGTCAGCGAGCGGGCAAGTTTGAATGGCTCCCGATCTCGAAAAGAAGCGCGGATCGACAAGTCGTGCGTCAGAGGCAGTAGCAGCAGCAGCCCGACAGTCAGCGAGAGCCAGAGCAGCGACAGTAGCAGCAGCTCGACCAGCGATAGCAATAGCGGCGTCGTCGTCGTCGGCCAATGCAGCAGTGCGTGGCGACAGGAACGCGGCACTAGGCATGCAACTACTACAGTTATGCACTAGCAACTTCTACGAAGATTATTACCCTCATGACTTAGGATCCGCTGCGCAGCTAGCACACCAGCCGCAGCCGCAGCCGCCGCCGCCGCCGCCTCCGTTGCTGCACCAGTCGCTTCACGGTAAATGAAACAACAACAACAAATGAAAGAAAGAGAGAAAGAAAAAATGCGATGACCGATGCGTAATGAAGCGTGCGTGCGTGTGCGTAAACTCCGAGGTCTCTTGGAGTATTTTTGCTCGTTTTGCGTTTATGCGTATGCGTATTCGATTTGGTTTTAAGCGAGACAACCCCTTGTGCGTATTATTATTCGTGGACTCGTGGAATTTTTCGCCGAGAGCCGTTTATAATACTTTACTCCTCGATATTCAATAATAATTACGAGGCGATTTATGGCGCTGAAATATTTCAGGCTCAATTATAGGGTAATGTCTATTTACTCAGACCCGCGATATATATAGTGCCTGCGCGCGCGCGCGTCTGTGTATAATGTGTGCTTCGCGCTACTCTACCCGGCTGCTTATACACGTATTTTACTACCTGCTAACCGAAGCTCTTCGATTGAGCATCTCTCGCGTTATACATATACGTGTACGTGTATGTGCACCCGCGTAGCTCGTCGAGTGTGCAGCACTTGTTGCACTTGTTTTCGATCGTCTTATAGGCATGTGTGTGTGTGTGTACATTCTCTGACTCGCGACTGCAGCCGCCTCTATCTTGCTTTAAATCGATCCGCAGCGCCGTCGCGACTATTTTATTCGTATTTTCGCGAGTCTCTCGCTGAATGCAATTAACGTGTGCGCACGATGTTAATTGTGCAACACAACCAGCAGAAAAAAATTGACGATAATTTTTGGCTCGTGACCTTTGTTGAACCGCGCCGCCTGATGCACATGTTTCCTCGATCCTGTTTTTTCTAGTACAAATGTGAGATCGATAATTCGCTTCGAAAACACGCGAAAAAACTGCGTGTCCCGCAACGTGATCCGCGCGAAACAACGCGAAAATTTTGTCTATAAAATAATATTCCCGCGCCGCGACGACGATGCAGCGCACGAGTTGTTGTCAATCCTGCAGCAGGAGTGACGAGTTTTTCGAGATTTTCGCGATATATAAATACGTGCTTGGCTTTCGAAAGGCAAAAAAAAGGCAGCCGTCAACAAAAACGCATCGGCATTGAAAAACAATCGTCCGATGCAACTTATTTCCTATAGTTTTTTGTGAAAATAAATAAGTTAATGTCAGAAGTGCTTTTATTATCGGTAAATGACCTTTTAACGATACTCTTGCCTTCTCTCTCTCGCTCATTTCGCGCAATGAAGAAATAATAATGAATTGCCGGCTCACTTCGTCTCTGTCTTTTTTGCACCCGATCGTGTGTACGCGCTGTATCAACGCACAGAAGTACGTAGAATTTTTAAAAATACACATGTACACGAGAAAATTTTAATTGCGCATGCATACACAATTCGCTTAAAACAGGCTTAAGCATTCCCAACGACTACTATATTATAATGATGCAAAAATCATAAAACTGCATTACCGCGCGACGACCAGCAGGCTTACACTTGTGTTTATATTAATTAAATCAGAAAATAACAGATACGAACAATTTTTAAATTCCCTTTGTTCGCGAAACATAAATTTTCAATTTCTCTCTCTCCCTCTCTCTGTGCGCGCAAGTGGCAATAAAGATAACTACCGGGGAACACTCTCGTACACATAGTTAGATATAGGCACATATACAAAAGTTTATTTGCAAGTGGATAAATATCGCATATATGAACAAATCCACATATCATTCTGAAAACTAAGATCTCGAAATCGGGTCCAAATATTTTTCAAAACACTGAAAATGAAAATTTATATTTTCAGAGTAGAAATGACGTTTTTGTTAACACTTTTAATGATCATATTTTGAAACTATAATGATCGAGTGTGTCTGAACAGCGCACTCCTTAACTGCGACACTCCAAAAATCAGTAGTTCTTAGAGGGCCTAATTATTGACACAATACACGTTAGTATCGTTTATTGTTTATATTACTGCGATCTTCAATTTTGTCGAGAGGGAAAAATAATTCCGTTGTAAAAAATGAATACATTTTTTTTCGATCTTAAGCCCGTTATACCCCCTTAAAAGTATCGACAGTACCTTCGGTGAAAAACTATCACCGTATTGACAATACTGTGTACTCCGATTTATCCTGAGTTTAAAAGTCTCATCTTGCTGTAATGATCTAATATTAAGTAAACTAGATTTTTTCATCAATCTAAACATAACTTTTAGTCCAAAGTATCTCGCATCTCATCTTTGTCTAGAAATTAAAGCTCTCGGCTTTCATCTGCTATTAAATATTTCTAACAAACAAATTTTTCCTCGCTTTATCTGTCTAACGTTAGCTATAAAATTTCTGTTTTCAACGTACATTAACTATTGAAGTGTCATTTTTATGAAGAGTGGTTGGTTGTTCACGATTATATCCATATTCATGAGATAAAAAGAACAATTCACCATGTCATTACACGCGACTCTTGAGAATGTTTTTGGGCCCGTATTTGAGCTTTAGTTTTCAGGATTAAATGTGGATTTAATCATATAGAAATTGCTTGAAAGCTCGAGTCGTCGTGTCACGAAGGGTTAAACTCATAACCGATAAGGCCGGGACTGATGAGTTTTCTTTGTTTAATACGGAATTTATATCTGCCTTTCCATGTATTTATGTATACATATATTTTCTAAAAGATTAATTCAATCGATCGAAGACAATCTTGAGCAATGGGCGAAACCAACTTATTTCCAATCACACTGCTGCAAGTGTTGGCTCAGTTTGCTGTTGCACTGTCATGCATCAACACTCTCCTTCTCACTCTATCCCTCTAAGAAGTTTCGCATATTTATCGAAAAAAAAAGAAAAAAATTTTCACTCTAAAATCGGCGCTGTTTATGTACTCTGGTGCCAGTGTGTGTGCGTGTGTGTGCGTATGTTGCCACGATTCTGGTTAATAAGCGATAACGAAAGATTTTCTTTATCTCCTCGAGCTCGGAGCTGCCTTGAGAATATACGTGCATTGTAGATGTTTACAACGCGGCGCCAGCGAGCTGGAAACAAAAAAAAAGAAAAAATTGAAATTAACTAGCTCGTTGGGTAAAAAATTAATCAAAGTACTTGTAAAACTCTCGATTGAATCGTCTCTTTCACTCTCACATGCAAACGCCAAGCATAATTTGACGCTTGACATATCGATTGAGTCAAGAAGTATGTGCACTTCTTTCAGTATGCGTCTAATATGTATCATACCGAATGTTTATATGACTAAGTCTCTGTAAAATCGAATGTACGTAATAAAGTTTTTTTTCTTACATGAAAAGCTTCTGCTTATGACTCCATAAAAGTGACCAAATTTTATTGGAATCTTGGAGAATGTTTATTAGCCTTTTTCAGAGGCCCGAAGGCCTTTTAGGAGGTGATTTTTCAAAATTGATATGATGGCCTAGCTTAGTTAAGTGAATAGTGTTTGAAAACTGTTAGTGAGCTAGAAAATTATTATAAAAATCATTATTAAAAATTGATATAACTTTCAAACAAGAGATACACCAAAAGTGTGATATTTGTTCATTTACACTAATTAAGCTTTTTTGGCGTTTTCGCCCGCGTTTTTTATTCAAAAATGTAGAAAATATTCGTTGAAAGTGTAAGGTAGCTCTGTGAATTTTAGTGAAACAAGTTTGGATTGAACTCTATCAGATTTTATTATTTACGTTCCTTTTAATAAATATTATCAATCTTCCAGAGTGCTCAAATTATTTGTGAATATTTTTTAAAGCATAGAAAATTTTCAGTAAAAAAGCTATTTAGAAAAAAACTAGGAAAAAAATATCAAATTCAGAATAAAATGAAAAAATTTGGGTACTCATTTGACATTATAAAAGTGTTTCAAGCGAAAAAAATGTTCAGGCCATTTGATTTTACAGAGATTCAGCCATATATGAAAGATACGCATTTGTGTGTATCTTCTGTGTCCTCGATTTTTTTTAAAACGTGGGCTCTCGATGCTAGTGTATGCAAGCATATGTACTCACACACGCATTCGGCGCAGCTCGCGCGAGCGCGTCGGAGTTTGTCAAATTTAGTATATGGCAAATGAACTGATGGAAAGGTCGCGAGCGTGCGTTCTCCGTCAAGGTCATCGGGTTCGAATTCCGAAGGATATACCTTACTTACTTACTTACCAACTCGGCTTTATTTCGTGTGTGTCCTTCGCGGCGATTTTTTCTTTCTGCTTTTATTGCTCTTTTTTTTTCTTTTTTTTTTTATTTATATAAATATTCTTTCTCCTCTTTTCGGTTCGTATCGCATTTTAACGAAAAGCTCTTCGGAGCTGCTGTCGACCGCAAACACCACCACTGCCGCCGCCGCGCCGAGTGCATTCGCACAATTCGATCGTTACGCGCGATATTTCGAGTACTTCGCCGCAGCGAATCAAAAGATCGATATATTATCGATCGTTGCTTTGTAGTTCAATCACGTGAGCGCATGATATAGATTCGACGTGTCACATTTTTTTGAATATACGTGTATCCTTTCCTGACACATTTGCGTATGAGTTCACGACGCGCTAAGATTACTTTGAATTCGTTAGCTCTTTTATATCGGTGTATATACCGAGCGCACTCGATAGCGTAGAAAATAGCGTTACAGACCGGCTTTCAACGTCGTCGATGATTATCCCGCGGCTCTATTACGCAATGAGACTTCGTACTAATCATTGAATTAGAATCATATAAGATATCGTCCCAGCACACATTATATAGGATAAAACGATCAATTATAGACACGTCTCGTAAAGTTTGAAGAAAAAAATTTCGTTTTCTCGATAGAAGGCAGCTAGCAACTGCAGCTGCAGCGGCATTAACAATTATTGAGAAAAAAAGTCATGTGCGTCAGATGGCAATCGATGCGCTATTATTATAGGCCATCGATTATCATCATAATTTTTCATTTTACTAATCAGAATCGATGTTAATTGAGGGGTCGATTGATTAAACGAAATGATACGCAAATACAACATTATAAAATTATTAAAATATCGCCAACTTATACTCGTCGGCGACGACGTA